ATGTGGAAACAACCCAAGTGCCCATCAATACATGAATGGATTAATAAAATGTGGTATATGTATACCATGGAGTACTATTCAGCTATAAGAAACAATGGTGATATAGCACCTCTTGTACTCTCCTGGATAGAGCTGGAAGCCATTCTACTAAGTGAAGTATCTCAAGAATGGAAAAACAAGCACCACATGTACTCACCAGCGAATTGGTATTAACTGATCAACAGCAAAGTGCACATATAAGAATAACATTTATTGGGTGTCGGGCAGCAGGGAGGGGAGAGGAGAGGATGGGTATATGCATACACAATGAGTGCAATGCACACCATCTGGGGGATGGACACGCTTGAAGCTCTGACTTGGGCGGGGGGTAATGGCAACATATGTAACCTAAACATCTGTACCTCCATAAGATGCTGAAATAAAACAAACAAAAAAACAAATATCACTTGCTTCGGGAGACTTTCCCAAACCACTTACTTTGAGTATTCAATCCCTCCCCCCAATCTCCATCATATTGCCCTACTTCTTATTTATAACACTTTCCATTATCTGAAATTATCTTATTTCATGAATTTGTTTACTTGGCTTTTGTCTGTCTCTAGATACCAAGCATGTTACCTATTTTGATCACTGCTGTATTCCCACTGCCAGAATAGTACCTGACATACAGAAGCTACTCAATACCTGTTGAATAAATGAATCGCTGAATGAATGTCCCATCTAAATCATAACGTTTCCATGAAGGCAAAAATTATATAAAATGCATATAGATGTGAACTGAAAATTAAAAAGTGCTCTACACATAGTAACTGTTACATAGTAATCTCTTTGACCGCTATTTTTCTGATAGCAACTCGGGTATACTTTTCAGTTCTCTCTTTCCTGATCTGAGGTAAGAAAAACTTAAAACAAGTTGTATGAGTGTGACATCTTTAATTATATTCCTTGATTGAGAATGTCCTGTGATCTGATGATATATTGAGGACTTCATGAAGAATGAAGAGGTTTTTTTCTGTTGTTCTTGTTGTTCTGTTTAACATTAAAGGTGTTTTCTGCAGGATCAAGCAAAACCTAAGATAAAAGCTCAGTATGCGCCCATAAATACTCATGAAGGCTAGAGTGGATAGAAGGAATACCTGAAGAAACTTGTAGAAATTGCGAGTGTTATTTTCCCTGCATGAATAGAATCGGGTTTGGTTTACAGTGCAGGAAGGATTTATCATAGATACTTAATGGAGAAAAAAGATAACATATGTTCCACCGCAGGTTAACTTCCTTTCAATGGGGAGATCAAGCCTAGTGCTAACAACTACAGCAGACAAGGCAGTCAGCAGTGAAATGACATGCACTTAGTCACTGTTTGGCAATTGGCAGTTTTTCTCTAAAAACCTAATTCAGCGCAATACAGAAGAAGTTGTAGAAGAAAACTGAACTTGCACTGCTTCTCCATTCATTAAGATAGCTCACGCTGAGCTCCACACAGCTGGAGCCTCCCTGCTGCAAACCATCACGCTGTACTTTCAGCAAACCTCAAAATGAAGCCCTTTCATAGGAGGGAGGGAGAAAAAAGTCTAGGAAAGAAAGATATGTGACAACACTTTGATTTAAAGTTGGAAAAAAGGTATGGCCTAAGTTTGAACCATTCCTTTAAAAATAACTACACAGATTTCAGATACTAAATAACATTTCGTCTAGAATTTCAAAACCACTTGAAAAAGAGATATTTATATTCTTTAAATGAATCCAAACTTATTTAACAATTGAATCCTTATGTTTAACAAGCTTTAGTTTGCAAATAGAATCCTGCATTTCCATAGCTTCCAACATTGGAAAACTAATTTTCATAGCCACTATTTTTCCTATGAATCTTTTCAGTCTGCTCACATATCAATTAATAAAATAAGAAAGGAGGACGGTTGATTTGCAGCAAGTTCATAGTTTTGATATTGGCTCTATTATCTAGTAAGTGATCAATGTAAATTCAATAAATGAAGAAAGGATGGCAGAGGAACTAGAACTCTCCAAGGTTGTTTCTCCTTGACTTGTCTCTTCTCTTATAGAATCTCCTTTTCAGAGACCTGCCCCATGCTCAGGACTTGAGGTTCATCTTTGTGGACATGGCTTTTAACACCTTAACCTGTTGGCCTGACTTCTCTCCTACTAACATCTGACGGGGGATTTCTGCTTAAGTGTCCTATTGTACCTTGAAATGAACACATCTGAAAAACCAGTTCACCTTCTCACCTCACCTCATCAACTATCTGTCGCTTGTCTCTCCCTTGTCTGTTAATGGTATAACCATCGCAGACAAGGAGGCTCAAGTCCTCAGACTGTCTTTGCAGTTTTTCCTGTCCTTTGCCCACCACACCCATCCAATGATGCTGTTAATTTCACTTCAAGTCTTTCAAATCTGCCATTTTCTTCTCACTCACTACCTTGTGGTCCAGGCCCATCTCTTGCCACACCTGATCCCTGTGGGTTCAGGGGCACAAACCTGCTCTTTAATGCCTGAGCTGTTTTTTTTCTTGTGTTAATCCGTTTTGCATTTGTTTTAATTTACTTTGCATCTTGCTGCTCAATTTTCTTGCTGAAGTATCTTTCTGGTTTGTCACTCACCTGTTGAAAAATAATAAATGTCTCCTGTTGTCCCCAAGATCAAGTCCAAATCCCTTAGCCTATTATTTAAAGCCATCCATGATCTGGCCTCCATCTGTCCACACAACCTTATTTGTCACCACTTTCCTAAATGTCTCTTCTTCCCGTTAACCAGGCTGATCTACCTTTGTTCACGCCATCACCTTCCTGAATGCCCTCTCCAGCTGCTTTCTGTTTACTAAAATTCTACTTCTTTATTGCAAATATCAGTTTTTTGGTTAGTTTGTTAGCTGATTAGCATCTATGCCAACTTTAATGATGATACATTTTCCTTTCAAGTCAGGATATGACCCTAAGGAGACCAACCAGGCTCTCTCTCCTGGGAAACAGTATCTCGAGCAGAAGCCAAGAGGCTGGAAATGGTTGGAACTCATATATTCCAGTGGAGGGAACCTGAGAGACTGCTGAGTATTTCTTGCTATCTAGATCTCTAGAATTATCTTGTCTCTTGACTTTTCCTGAATTCAGTTCTCTAGACTGTTGATTCTGTGAGCCTTTCCATATCCTTCTAGAAAATTCTTTTGATTAAAATAGAGAAGGGATTTGTTGCTTGCAATCAAATTTTTAGCTGAGTCACCATTTTTAAGGCCTCGCTTAAACTCTTCCTGTCATATGAAGTCCTTCCTGAGAGCCCCAGCTCACAGTGCTCATGGCCCCAGGTGAGCATCTATAGATTTTAGTACCTGCTCCATTTCTTTAGCACATCTCAGTCAGTCATCCACTATTTACTGAGCATCTGCTATGAATTTGGTTTTGTGTTACCATATTTTTAAAAAAAAAAAAAATCTGTTAACTCTCTCTCTCAGAAAAAAAAGCACAGCTTATTTTTATAAGTAGACTATGGATTCTTCAAAATCAGTGACTCTGTCTCAGATATAAATGTTCCTTCCCTGGTGCCTGGCACGGACAGAAAACACAGTTTTCTCACTGATTGACAAAGGTTGACTCTACCATCAAAGTTGTTTAAAGAGAATATCACAATATCAGGACTACTTGGAACTAATTGAATTAATCAATAAAAATATAATAACTAGGAACATAAAATATAAGTCTAAAGAACTGTTCATCACATCCTAACTTGCTTGCTCACTAGATAGTTTTAATGTCAAAATCATCAGTTAATATGCTAATTTCTAGAAGTTGAGTGTGGAATCTCATCTTTTAGTACACAGCACTGCCATTTCCCCGAATTAATTTGAGAGATTCCCAAGACTTCAACCAAGTCATACCTAAGAGCTTACATTAGCATCATTCAAGCATGCTGCCACCTGGGTTACTTGATAACCGTAGAGCCAGGCAGTGTAGTAGATTTATTTAACTCTTAACCCCACATCCTATTTTAAATATAATTGGTGGTGGGAGGAGAATTGACGTGAGCTTCTATATTTGCTTCAATAACAACAATAACAACAACAAAATCCCAAATAACTACCAAGCAAGCATTTGTAGGATCACTGGGATCCTGGCTGTTACTCTATCTGTGTGGCAGCCGTGGATATTGAGGCAATGAGGAATATTGGGTCAGAATATCTTGAAAAACAGGAGAGAGAATAAAGGAAAGGAAGCACCCACCTTCTTTTCCAGTCTATCAATTAACTTCTGGAGTCTATTTATCTGGGTCATCCACTGGTTGTCTTCTTCTAATAAGCCTAGGGGTGGGGGATGGAAATTACGAGGGTACATATTAAACTTCAGACACAGAAGGAATGCTTGATTATCTCAGAGCTTTCCTTTCATCATGAAGGAAGGATGCAGTGTCATTGACTAGCCAACACATTTTTTAAAATGTATTTCACATGAGCGCTAAGTTATTGATTTCTGTAGATTCATGCATCCCAGTGGGTTCATTTCCGTGTGCCTGTTTTTCATATTGTTGCCTGTCTGGCCTTTGATATTCAAATGAAAAGAAGTTGTCGAGCCATTTATAAAACCCCATAAGGTAGTTGGTTATCTTTTGAAAAAAGGAAAGCATCAATCAGTAATTCCAAACTTACCTGTAGGGCAGTGGCAGGAGCCCATGAAACCATACCCCTGACACCAGCAAGGTATAAATAGCTACAATTAAAAAGGGCATAAGAGCAAGACAGCTAGTGTCTCCTTTTCCAGGAGCTAACTTGAGTATACATGGACACCATAGACATGGTGTAGCGGTTAACTGTGCAGACTAGAGCCCGTCGATCTATATTCGTATATATGATAATATACACATGTATGTAGGATATCTGTATGCATGTGTATATATGTGTGTGTCTAGCACCAAGACAAACATTATATACATCGTGCTATTATTGCTGTTGTTAATATTATATAAAGGTTCAAAGGGAAGAGTTATGGTCTCAGCCCCTGCACAAACATCCTGGCATCTTTGTGTATCCTTTACTGTAGCTTACTCAAAATGTTTCCACAGTCATTTGCCGAAGTATTATTATTTAATGTTTCTTGAAATGGGAATGTGAAATTCAAGACTATAAAGCTTTCCTTTAGTTTTGAATGCAATAAAGGTAAGGCTTAAATTGTAAAGGGGTAGTGATGTACATCAGAATTCACTTTTCCATCTGCCTTCTTGGAGGAAGCACCTCTCAAAGCCCACAAAATAAATTATGATGTAAAAATGATCATTAGCTCTGCCACAAAGAAGTGGCTACAAAAAGAGAGAGAGAGAGAGAAAGAAAAGAGGCTGAAGAAGATATTATAAATGTATAAGTTTACATTTACTTTT